GACGCTCCAATTTCAGGGGGCGCAGAGTTGTGATGACATCAGTGCAGAGTAATGCAGGTTGTCATGAGCGCAGCATGCTTGCCTTGATGTAATGCAAGCCTGGAAGTACCCACTAAACTCACAGCATGCACGGGCACAGATGGGGAGAACATTAAATAGCATTACAGATAGAGAGATCAGAAGGAAAAGACAGCAAAAAGAGACTGAAAAAGGAGACGGGAAATACTGGCAAGAGATGAAGACAGGTTTCGGATGGAAAATATAGCACATCAATACCTAATCAACTGTATTTATGTCTCCCTCCACCCCCTCTGCGGTCAAATGGCCAAAGTGCTGCAATGATCCGAACTGTTTCCCTCTGATGAGAGACAACATGTCAGCGTTCTCAGGAAACCCAGCGAGCAGCTCAAGCACCACTAATTCATCATAAACATAAAACCAAACAGAAATAGCTCGCATGCAGGCTCCCCTAGCTCTCACTTTGCCAAGAGGGCTTTCAGTGATGGAAAAAAAACTGTGGGAGGTATAGGAGGAAAGGTGAGCAAGACGGACAGGTTCCTATTTAGACACAATGCAGTAAAGCACCCCATACACATGCTAAACCCCCCTCCATGCAACATTTAACCTCACTGGACCACTGACAGGCAAGAATACCAGGGCAGGGCCGTATGGCTCGTGTAACACAGGTGGAATCAGTTTCTCTGCCTGGAGCCAGGAACATGGTGACAGTAAACATGTGCAGATAAACACATATAATCATACGTGTAATCATATACATTCCAGTAACACATACAAATACAAACAGCTATGCCTGAAGCTTATGGGGATAAATAGAAAGTACGATGAACTTTACAAGGCCTCAGAGACTAAAGTAAGTGTGTCTCTTTACAAATAAGCAGATATATTTTGACTATGAGCTCAGGACAGGGAGCCCCTCGTATCTGTGAGAGGATTAGAGCCCTATCAGGGTGGCCAGTCCAGTCAGAGACACTGTTTAAATCCATGACCCAGGTTCAAGCGCCATGTTGGCCTGCACTCACTCAGTGGAGATTTCCTTGTGCAAGTCAGTGCAACAGAAGTTGGAAGGGCTCAGCGCTCTGCAGGTGGATTATCAATCAGTCCTCAAACCGGAATGGCTGAGCAACTAAAACAGATTAGGGAAAAATAAACATTTTCTGATGGGAGTCACTTCACTTTTAGTGCAGCGGTGATAAGCATCTCACGATCACATTAGGTGGTATCCCTCTGGTGTTAAAAAACAACACTGTGAAATAAAATGTGTGCAGCTCCTGATAGAGAGGAAGACAGGAGTGGGATGGTTTATTGGCTCCTGTCATTTTGAAAGATACGGTGCTGATGAAGTGTTTCAGCAGCAAACTGTGCCACGGACTCCCGGGTTATCAAACTATAGCAGCTGCATATAAATCATTCTGTTCTTCCTCTCAACCGAGCCTCATCAGCCGTCTCAGCCTCGATCCACACTCTACCCTGGTTGTCCCCCTTTGTCCTCCATCCAGGCGAGGGGGTCACTCACCCTTGCCGAAATCGGTTTGATCCCTGAAGTGCCCCTGTCCTTCTCACTTTCCAACAATACTCACAATAAATGTGACAATTTGTCAAGAATTTTCTTTTTCTAAGCTTTTTCATAGATGTGCTTGAACAAGGAACAATTTTCAAAATACCGAATGACTAAATGTGGACCTCATTGAATTGGGAGTTAAGCACCGATGATGGACATATAATTGTCTCCTCTGTGTTTCTACACCCGTTTCTGCCAAGCAGACATCATCACCCACTTCTCCCAACTCGCCTGATCATAATTCCCCTCTGGTTCGGTCTGTCACTGCCGGGGAAGATACTGGAAATCTCTGAGAAAACAAAGTCGAGCAGACGTACAAAAGCGAGAGCCCAAAACACACAGAGCCAGGCCTGATGGAGAATTTCTGACTGATGACATAGCTTAATGTAGCTAAGCCATAGCTGTGGGCTGGAAAAAGCCCCTTTAACAGAGACCAGAGCAGGCGGACTGGATGCAGCTGTGCTCGGCAGAGGCTCATAAGAAGCAAGTTGATTGATTGTGATCACCTGCACTGTGTTGCTTTGCACAGCAGAGCTGCTGATCAGGAGGGAGGGGAGCATGTTCATATGATGTGGAAATTACCTGTCACCTCTCGGATTACACTAAGAGAGTGTGAGTGAAAGAGTGACACAGAGACGAAGACAGAGAAAGGGAGGACTCCTGGAAATGATCAGGAGCAGAATTATGGAGAAAAACAATGAGCTGTTTTTATATCAGCGTCATGTCTTGTGGTTGGACTCAGAGCATTAAATTTAGAAAGACTTTGAAAAACAGTTTAAGGAGGTGTTTCCAAGACACAAGAGTGGGGAATGGAGGAGGAGGGAGAAGACGCAGGTGGGTGAAGAAAAAAAAAATGTATCAGACTATTTAGTCAAGTGTGTTTTTGTGTTCAATGGACAAATATTTTTTTCACCTACTATTGCAGAAGGTTCAGATTTAAGAATTTAAGCTTTGGGTTCTGTCTGGCAGCTTCAACCCCAGAAATGTTGTTGGTCAAATTTTGTTTGTGACACTCACAGTATGAACTTGAGTGCAGGCACACAGCAGAGCACACGTCTCTGCCAAGACTCAAAAGTCGCCATAAATTCAATGAAGCTGCACCACATTTCACACACTCATAGAATTCAGTCCCTGAAATGTGCCAGATTATTTTCATCAAGATCCATGAATTATCCCCTGGAGAAACAGTGTAAATGATGGAACACACCCTGTCTCGCAATGTCAAAGAAAGTGATAAAATTATTTAAAAACCCATTACTTCTTGGTTCGGATCCAGGGGGCGATTCCAGGAATTTGTTTTATTTTCTTTAACATAGCAAGATGAGGCCTTTTTTAAACACTTGTTTATTTCTCAGAGAAGAATTAATGGAACCAGATGAGAATAATCGGACATGTTCAGGTGACTCATTTATGAGTGTGTGCAATTTGGTGCAAATACAAATAAAAATCTGGATCTTGTTAATTTAAGTATGGTTCATTAGGGGACTATTGGCCTGTGGTGGAGCACTCTACTAAGTGCAGTTCTAGTTTGTATTGGGGTGGCCGTACAAATCTCAGATATAAATATCTGAAACCACATGAATGGCACATGAAACCAAAAGAATCTGGTGAGAACTATTTATTGTAATTTGGGTGAGCCCTTTGTTTGAACGCTGATCTTACACAGCAGGTTGAGCCTCTTCATAAAATGGTGGTCCATTAGTCCACAAGTGGCTGATTTGTTGCAACATCTCCTTCTCTCCACAAGCATCTATCCATCTGCCTGATGGCAGAGCTCCAGCAGAGGCTCAAGGGGAGTGGGGGACAAGAGCAGCTCAAGTGGGGAGGCGAGTCGAGAGGTGATGAGGGTCACGGGGGGGAAGAGCATGCAGCTCCATCTACAATGGTGTGAGGTAAGATGAGGTAAACAGTCCAAGTGGAATGAGATGATGAGAAAAAGCTGCCCTGAAGGACGAATCTCTTATAGAAATGGTAACAAAATAGACTGATACTAAATTACATAGAGCTGAAGACCTTTTACAAGCCAGCTCCGTCTCTGTAGAGTGAGTAACTGACATGAATGGAGAGGGAGTACAGTGAACTGGGCCAACTGGCAGCAGCCAAGGTACACATAGTAATTCCCTGCACATTTCATACACTGCACACCATATGATTGTGTGTGATTGCTGATTTCCTGGGGACAATGTCATCTAAAACCAAAAATGGGGAAGAAAATGATTAAAAAAAAAGATCAGTTCTATTCAGAAATGATTTCTCTGCTCAATATGCAAATGCTCAAACAGAGCAAAACAGCCTGTAACTTTCCCACACAACTGGACATATGGTAAATTGGCCAGTGGCATTACAATGAGATGTGCCCCTGTGACTGCAGACCCTACTGGGATTATTTGTACAATGTCTGTGAACAGGAGGTCACCGCTGAATGATGTGCCATTATAACATTTATCTGCTGCCCCCCCCCCCCCRCCTGTGTCTGCTGGCTCAGAGGAGCAGAACAGTTTTTCCTGAATTTGACTGTGGTCTTGGTATTCTAAAAAAATATATAACAGAAAATATCAAAGGCTTTGTTTTTACCAGGTGACACTATAATAAATGAGTTGGTGTGGCCAAGAGATTATTCATGGAAATCCCAATAAAATATGAATTTTCTTAATATTCTGAATCATTTGGTAAAAATATGCATGACTCTAAAATTTTAGATTTCTTTGTGCAGTAAAAAAGTGCACGCATGGTGATCCAGAGTGGTTACATATATTCTCCATTCAGTTGTCGGACTGAGCACACATACGTGCAGCTGTGCACTTTGTGCTGCAAGCTGGTTATTAGCAGTTTCAGAAAGAGGTGTTGCCCTCTACTGATGAAATGTAAAAACAGCAACCTGTCCTCCAGTGCTGTGAGACACTGATGGAGTGTGAAATTGTAAAACAAACAGACGGATCAGGGAGGTTTTTCTTATTCGCAGCAAAATCATCTTTATCCCGAGCAGGAGGCCCGAGCGGAGCTTTTCTTTGAAGCACACGCAAACATTCAAGTTTCATTTCAAAGGATCTTGGCAGTAAGAAGCTTTTGTTTTATGATGGACTAATACACTCAGTTACACTTAGTTAAAACTAATGCAATATAATACAATAGTCCCATAATAAATCCTATTTTTTAAGGTTATAATGTAGTTTTAGTTGATCGTTTTGGAGAATGTAGTTAATACTATTCATCTGTGTGGGATTATAGTTTTATTTTCATTATTGAGCCCACCTGAAGGCAGGCCTCAGTTTACATTAACACCTTCCTGAACCGAGAGTTTGTTCTAGGAAAGTTGAATTAAATTGCATTTGTTTTAGCTGAACACATAAAACTGATAGCTAAGTGTATTTATTTGAGAAAAATCTCAAATGCAAACCTCTGGCCAAAAAGAATCGAAGAACATAGATAACTTCTTTATTGATATTTACGTTATACAAGTTAAATTCCGAACCTCCAGACAATAAATGAGAAAGCCATTCTATTCATTTCACACAGTAAGAGCTGTTGCCTGGTTATAGTTATATCTGATATGATCCACGGGTGAAAAAAAACAATGAAGCAGAAAAGCTCAACTTTGACAGAAGTTGCTTGATGTAACTCACCTCCTCTGATGATACAGTATAAATTAAAAAGCCACATCACCATCACAGTTAAAATGATGTGAATATACAGACAGCACAGACCTGATTTGACAAAATGACAAAAAGACATTCAGGCGTTCAGGGAACATTGTACCTTTTTTTTTAAAAAGCTGTAACTTGGTCTTAAAGTTGGAAAATAAATAATGATCCACACTGACGGGTATTTCAAAGACAAGACATTTCTGACTGCATTATGGGTCAGGACACAGATTTTCAACTCAATGAATCTAAAGACCTCAGGAAATATAATCCATCCACCGTCTAATAGGAGTAATAATGAAAATTCATCCATAGTAAACTATTTCAAAGGAGCCGAGTGAAGATCATTGCTATATGTGAAGCCTGCAGGTGTTGACAAAAGGCTGTTTGTACAGTACAGTGGTCAGTGAGCAGTGTGAACAGGAAAAAGAAGGGAAACCATTGTGACGTCAGCGATTAGCTATGGAAATAGACGAGCATGGAAATCCTTCTCTCGTACTGGTCACCTGTCCCACACGTCCACACCTGTTCAAACTCACACCTCTGATGTGTGTGTGTGTGAGCATGTGGTGTCCTCAGTGGTGGTTTAGAGGTCTGATGTGAGCTGCCCTTTACTCTGGATGACCCTCATGACAGACTGGACCACCTCTGAAGTGGTGCCCTGACCCCCGATATCAGCCGTGTGCAACTGCAAGAAAAAAAGAATTTAAGTATTTTAACACATTACCTGATGCCATTAAAATGTAACAGTGGAATGAGTCTCCTGTCACATTTTGTATTTGTAATGGAGCTTTTTGAGTAAAGTTTGTGAGCAGTAAACTGTTTCAATATAAATATTGCTTAGAATGTAGAACTCTGCCAAGGTCAAAAATCACATTAAAAAGTCACCAGATACTGATTTATATTAGATTCTGCACCAGATTGCACAGACTCATAAATATAAATATCATCCCCCTATACATGCCATTTTAATGATTTTCTGAGAAATCTATGAAAATGTTGAACAACTATATCTCAGTTTTTTTTATATCCTTGATTCGCCTCTGATCTGAATCCAAACCAAAATTGAATGGGTCCTTCCCTGATCACATCTTTCCACCAAATGTCATGGTAGTTTCTCCAGTAGTGTTTATGTAATCCTGCTAACTAGACAAACAAACAAAGCAGATGAAATCTAACCTCCTTGACACAAATAAAAATGAAATGCATATCACTTCTCTGCAGCAAACAGTCTGTTGCTATGGATGATAAGCAGATCAGGCCTGAAGTAAGCCCAGGGACTGTAATTATTATCCAGTCCACACAATGTGAAATCAGATAACATTCAAGGAAGCATTTCATGAGAAGCTTTGTGACAATGAAAGGACATAATGCTGTTTTATGTCAATGTGGTGTGATGCAGTCTAGGAAACGTGCCAGACCTGCCACCTGGGCCTCTGAGCATGTGTCGCAACAATACTGTACTAGATTTATGGCAGCTGCAGAGACAGTTGAGGGGAAGGACCTGTCAGTCATGAAAAACTTACCCTGGTTTCATTCATGGTAGTGAGGACTGCATTCCGGATTGAACTTGCATGATCGTAAAGCCTGGAGACATTAGAAAGAATTATTTACATTGCTTGCATAGCGCAGTCAAAACATTAGGTGAAACCGCAGGATAGTATGTGTATCTCGTGTCTGGAAAAGCTTACTTAAGGTGGTCCAGCATCATGCAGCTGGCGAGCAGCATGGCAGTGGGGTTTGCAATGTTCCTGTCAGCAATACTCTTTCCCGTATTCCTTGTGGCCTGAGAGATGCATGGAAAAAGACAGAGAGAGATGAAACTTTGAGTTGCACTAGATCAGAGAGATGTGATTCACGCCAGGAGCTGCTCAACACTCACTGTTTCAAACACGGCATAGTCACGACCATAATTGGCTCCAGGCACGAGGCCGGGCCCTCCCACCAGGCCTGCACACACATTGCTCACGACGTTCCCGTACAGATTGGGCATCACCATCACGTCAAATTGCTCAGGCTTGGACACCAGCTACAAAAACAAACAAACAGTGGCAGGTAAATGTTTGTGATTTAGCAGCACTGACAAACATTCCTTGTCTTTATCAAAATGTTATCAACCATAACCTGCATGGTGGTGTTGTCCACAATCATGCTGTCAAATGTGATGTCTGGGTAACCAGAGGCCACTTCTCTGCAGCACTGCAGGAACAAGCCATCACCGAGCTTCCTATTGGGAGGAGAGAGGCAGACAACTCTAAATGTCCAGCATGAAGAAACCCACAATATGAGTGAGGCCAAACAGCTCGGGTGGGATAAACTTGCCACGGTTACTCACATGATGTTGGCCTTATGTACGGCGGTGACCCTACGACGGCCCTTCTCTCTGGCCAGACTGAAGGCATAGTCCGCAATCCTGAGGGAATTGTTCCTGGTGATGATCTTAAGACACTCCACCACCCCAGAGACGCTCTGAAAGACGACAGGGAGGAGAATAACAAATAAATGACAGCTAAAGCTTCAGTATTATGACAGATGAAACCACAATAGACCATCATAAAAACAATGATGCAGAAGTCCATAGACACTATTACTGAACATGACACACTAAAACAAGTGAATCTGGCTGGATAAATTTTTTTTCAAAACTAACAGAGATAATAACTGGTGATATTAGTGAATATCAACAGTCATTACAGATACACCACAGTCTCCATGACTCTTGTGCCTCTAGTTGTTGGGACTTAGATGACTTTGTTTATCTCCCAACAATCTATAAATCACATCTACAAGAGGGATAGCCTGAAAAAAGCCTCACACTGATCTATGGTCTGTTTGTATTTATCGAGAAGATATTATCTCTGGATATGAGTTTTGTGGAGCCACTGAAGTCAAGTAATTACTGTGTCGATTCTAATTTATTCAGAGTATCCCTGGCGGGGAGCTAACACTAGCTATCAGAGAGGACTTTAATGGAGGGAAGTGCCAACATTTGTTTCAGCAAGCTGCAGAACTGATTGCGGTTCAGCTTTGTCTGACCTCGTGCTCCAGACTGCTATATTCTCCCTCTGTGTTCTCCCTGATGATCATGATGTCAATGTTCTTGTGGCGAGTCTGGACTCCGGGGAGGGACTGGCAGTGCATCACATTGGCATACAAGTCTAAACTTGTGCTGTTGATGGACATGGAACAAGACAGCAAGGAGAAAGAGGGGAAACCATAGGTGAACTGACAAAACCGAACTCTGGAAAAAAAACTTTCACAAAAGAGCCTTTATAAAGAGATCAGATAAAAAGATTTTTTATCTTACCGAAGGAGGTTATTCCTGGATTTGACAGATGGCGGCATGGTATGTTTGGTTTCTATGTTACCTATCAGAAGAGTTAGAAAACAGTTAATAGAGGTGATGTGCCTCTCACAGCTCTACTTCACTTTTCATGCTCTGCTTAAAACATAACAATTGTTTAAAAAAATGTTATAATATGAAAAGTTGGATTTCTTACCTTTGAGGGCAACGCCATTACGACGGATGGCAGTAATGGCATTATTGATATCTTCCTCAGTCTCAATAGCAGAGTTGACATGGACCACCTCAAAGTCCACGGGCACACAGCTGAACCTACAGCAGGATTTCAAAGAATATGATGAGGTAATCCTTGGCTGTCCGTAGTCAAAACATATGAAAAAGATTTTGTTTAAGTCTAACCAACCTGAAAACCTCTCTAACATGATTGAGCAGCTCAGGACCAATTCCATCTCCAGGTATGAGGGTCACAGTGTGTCTGCCTCCATACTTTGCAGGAGGGGGCTGTGACATTAGAATTTCAGGTTTTATTAAGTGAATCAACTGCAGTTAACTTAAAAAACAGTAGATACATAAGAATGAATGAGTCCCAGGTTGAGATCCCATACAAGCCAAAGTGATTAACATTTTGAAATGTGATTTTACAGTACTGTGCAAAGGGTATGAGGCACGTTTGATGTTTAGATTTGTTGACATTATTAAATTGAATAGCGTCAAGCAGACGTCTGATCAGACCCCAGAATTATTCTGCCGCACGACAGCGACACCATAATGCGACAAGGAACTGTCTTCAGCAACAAGAAGATTAAGAAGTCCTACAACAGATGGTAAAATCCCTGCAGAGGTCAAATCTGGGATTACATGAAATACCAGAAGACACTGAGATGAACTAAATTCACAGACGAACTCAGGCAAATTCTCAGGATGCATGGAACAACCAAAAATATGCACAAGTCAACTGTACCTGGATTTTGTGTTACCTTAAAGGCAAAGGGTGGCCACACCAACATTGATTTGATTTAAGCTTTCTTTCTTTTCTAAATTCCACACTTGGGTGGAGGGTTGAGTATCGCAATCATTTTGCACAGTACTGCTCATCAATGCTTTAAGCAATCCCTCTAGTTAATGTGTTAATATCACCCACCCCTAGTATTATCAAGGCAGAACATGTTGTTTCTTGTACAGCGTGAGAAGTGATGTGGTTCATTAGATTACAGTGTGATCTAGGTAAGCACATCAGAGTTAGTTACTTACAATGTTGTCTCCCTGTCGTTGGAGATGGACAGCAAGGAAAGCAGAAGGACAAGTCAGTTTGACAGCTGGAACACTCTTTTCACCAAAGAGGGTGAAGAACCCCAGATACACAAAAGTCCCACATTATAAAACACAGATATGAAAAGTGCCCAGCCACGGTTTGACCCAAAGAAGTACAGGTTTAAAAGAAATATAACAACGAGAAGCAGTGCTTTATATACACATCATTCTGAGAGGACTGAAAACCCCTCACAGAAAACCTGATTCACTCACTGTGTGCAGGCTCTTATTCCTGCGACTTGTCAGAGTTGGTCCAAAAACCTGAAACACAAATAGAAGCGGAAAGGATTCAAGATAATTAGTGACTACATTTAGTTTATGTTGATTACATACAGGTCAGATTAAAAGTTTGGGAAACTAAAGGGATTGTAAAAGATGTGTCAGAGGTCTGCCAGCTTAATACAACTATTTATAACCCCCCTGTGACCTTGTGTTTAGGAACATTTAACGACTTTAAATTGGAGCCACGCAACAACACACATGTCCGACATGACAATAACAACACATGCCCTCTTACTTTCACCGTATTTCCGAGGCGACCGCCCCAAAAAGGAGAAATCATTCTGGACATTGACATCACTGCACCGTGGGACGCCATCTTGGTTCTGCAGCAGTAGTAGTCGCGCGCACAAGGAGGAAGTACTATCCTCTCGCGATAGTCTTTTTTTTTTTTTTTAGTTTATTTATTTATGACATGAGACGATCTTGAGAACTGAAATAAATAATGTTTAGATTTACCGCATTTTTTTTAATGATGGAAAAAAACATATTACGAGTGATTTATGGTGCGTTCACGTCCTGGCGTTTAATATGAGCAAGCGAGTAGGACAAATTAGACACGCCAGCCTGTATTTCTGGAGATGTCGAGAATTTCACCCAATGATTATATTCAAGTCTCAGAGAAAATAACTACAAGCATGTCAGCAAGATGTTGGCAGAATGAGTGAATACACCAAACCACTGTAAAACACAATAAAATGAAAATCACTGCTATCACAGGATGAATACACTGGTTTTCTGATTTCACTTGAGAAAATCATGTGTAAGAATATGTAACGCAACGAACTTGGTTGAATGTTGCAAAGGTTGCACTCGAGATAACTTTAGATGTTTTTGCAATCTATGTTTTTTATCTGAAATCTGAACAGAACAAGAAACAAGTACATGGGGTTGTATACAATAACAAACAGCTACATACAAACATATAAGCCAGAGGTGATGTACAATAATAATGATAACAACAACTTATTAATAAAACACTTATCTAAACAAGGTTACAAAATGATTCACTATACATATAAAATATTCAATATACATAATAAATATCATGCAGAATAAAAATAAAAAAATCTCAACAGATTCAACAGCCTTTTTGTTGGATGATTTGGAAATTAGGTTTATATATTGTTCAACGTCTTTCAGAAAACAAAAATAAACAGGGTCTTGTGTCACTAAATTCGCATTTAAGGATGAAACATTTTGCCCAAGCACCATCAAATGTATTATTTAAAAAACATATCTTCTTTTCTTTGTTTATTTATTATGTGCAATCTTCTTATTCTACCGACAGTTCATGAACGCGTCACAGTTGGAAATGTTGCTCACGTGACGTGCTCGCGCAGCCTCGGTTCCCGCAGACCGGAGTTCTGCAGTTTATCCGGAAGACAGATGGAAGAAAAGCAAAGATCGACCGTGACATGCGCGTTAATGTTCCTCTGATCGAGCTCCAGGTTCATTTATCTCACGAGAGTCTCGATGAGGAAACAGCGTAAGAAATAACTCGCGTCCCGAGTGGCAGGAGCTCTTCCTCTTCAACCTCCATTACATCCCCGCTGAGGGGACGGAAAAGAGCCGATCCCAGGCGGAAGTGGAAGAGTTGCGCTCCCAGCAGGTAAAGGACCTGTCGTCTCGTCCTGACCGCACGTCGGTAGTTTGTCTGTACTGAGGGTTCTCTGCTGTGTGGACTTTGCTGTAGTTCAGGCTCGTGTCGCCTCTAACGTCAGCTCCTCAGAGCCATCTTGAACTGTAAAGAAACTCTCAGGTGAACATGTGCATTTTATACTTGTACAAACGATTGTACAAGACCTGAATATTTACCAAAGGTAATTAGTTTTATTGTAAAGTCATTATTAACAGCAGTTTTCTGAAGGAACACCCTCTTGTTTCCGCTTGTATTTTTTACTAAACTTTATTTCAAACTGTGACAAAGTTAAATACGTAAACACACATTTAATATGATAGGTAAGTCGATGACAAAACATGGACATGCAGGAAAGGTTAATGTAGAGAAATATAAAGAAATAATAGAGAAAATAAAAAGAATAGGTTTAAAAAAGATTACGGTGCAGTATTTCACATGTTCAATGAACTTTGTAAAGTTACCCAAATACCTTTTTATTCATATCGGTTAAAACATCTGTCATTGTAAATAGAAAAGAAAAACATTCTTTGACATTTCAGTCTCTAAAATCATACATTTTTCAAACATGGCTGCAATTTCAATGTTGACACTTTAAGTTTTGTTATTATTTCTTCTCTATCCAGGTCTATGAGACGGTGAATCATGAGATTAACAGGTGGGTTTAGGTTCTCTCTTTCTTTTGATCACATTTCAGGAGTAGTACGTCTGGTTGTAATTCCATGAGTGGTTGGACCTGAAATGGGGCGTCTTGTTTTGCTCTGACAGGCCCCCTGAGAGTTGTGGCTGTGCTGCTGCTGGTGGGGCTCACATGGCTGCTGGCAAGCACTTTCTTTGGAGAGGATAGTGGTTCAGCTGTCCGACATTTCTTCAGTGGTAAGAGAAGCTGATATTTAAATAGAATAGAAATGATCAATTGATTAGTTGACTGACTGGACATTTTTTGAGCTATTTAGCAAACAGCATTGGGCGACGTTCTCTGGTTTTAACAGTTACATGTGAGGATTTAGGGAGTGAATATTGAATATCTATGGGTTTTATAATGTTGATCACACAAAGTAAGCACTTGGAAGATTATTATTATCCATGGGTTCTGGGAAACAGTGATGGGCATTTGTCACTCATTTGAGAAATATGTGATAAACAACCTGATGATGTAAAGAATTTTCAAGGTCAGGTTTTGAGTGTTGGTTTGAGATGCATTTTTGACTGCGTGTGTAGAACTAATCTGAGACACCTTTCTGATATTATACATCATCACTTTGAATCTAAAACTGTTATTTATAACATTTTCCATTTATTTTTTTCAGGTGCAAGTGAGGAGCCAACTCCAGGTAAATAGTAGGAACGTTATGACATGTCTCTCCAGTCGTATATAATGTGGATAATGTTGCATTTGTATCTTCCTTCTCATCACCACTGACAAATGTTTCACATGTTTCAGCTGAAACCCATCCTCGCAGGTATAAATGTGGACTTTCAGCTCCCTGTCCCCCAAAACATTTGGCTTTTCGCCTGGTGTCTGGTGCTGCCAACGTCATTGGTCCCAAAATCTGCCTGGAGGACAAGATGTAAGATTGAACGCTTTCCTGTTCCTCTCCATTAGTCTGTGCTTGTTCCCCCTGCTGTCTCCTTTGTTTGTTTGTTTTTGTTTCATTCTCTGTTCCTTTTTTCCTCCTTGCTGTCATAACCAGGCTTCCAAATCTGTCTGGGGAGCTGAATGCAAGTATTCTTTCAGTCTGTCTGTCAGTCAGTCAGTCAGTCTGTCTGTCTGTCTGTCTGTCTGTCTGTCACCTCTTTGGTTTCGTCTGTAGTCTTGTCTCTTCTTAAGTGCCAGTTAGCTAGTTGACATGTGTAGATTAATGTGTACGGGCAACACAAGAGTTCTCCTAACGTGCTATCGGTTAGCACTTCAACATCTCATGTTTATGTCACCCAGGTTATTGAGCAGTGTGAAGAACAACATTGGCCGAGGACTGAACATAGCTTTGGTGAATGGTAAGAGGGACTGTCTTGACTCTGTGCTCTCAATATTTTAAGCTCTGGTTCATTTAATTTGTTGACTGATGATTCTTTGTTTCAGGGGTAACAGGAGAGCTCTTGGAAACAAAGAGCTTTGATATGTGGGCAGGAGGTAATACAGTCCAGACACATGCACAGTATACATGTCCCATGTTTCATTTGATACATATGTCTCAACCGTAACTGCCCATAAGTCAAAGTTCATAGCTGCTTTGATGTTCATTCTCAGATGTTTCTGACCTGTTGAAGTTTCTCCGACCGCTCCACGAGGGAACACTTGTGTTCGTGGCTTCTTTTGATGATGCTGCCACAAAGTAAGAATCCTTTTTCTCTTATGCCTGGGGGACACCCTGTCGGCTTTGCATGTGCGTGACAACTACCTCGCTGAACTGCTACAGCTTGCGTTGGTGTGTACATACCACCAGCATGTTGACTGTGGCTCAGCTATTGTGAGCTGCAGATATTGTGTTTGTTTTTGAAATTGGATATCAGTACTAATAATCATCCATTGTTGATTAGCCATCAGAAGAGAGAGCAATTATAACTAGAAACCAGTCACTTGGGTTTTTTGTTTACCCATGTGGAGAGGGAGGTAGATGTATTGTCATATAGTTATGTCAACATTAGGTTCATGCTCTGACTGTATAATACACATGTGGCCTCCACCTTTGCCTTTAATAGGATGCATTTGCTAAAATGGTTGGAAATAATACATAGTAATGTTGCGAGTATGATGTCAATATGACTTTCAACAGTTTTGTGTTAGAACACCACATGTCACACATTAATGATGCCAAATCTCAGGATGACACAGCGCTGCAGAGAGGTGTTAACCACATTTCTAACGGAGGCAGTTTTCCGGCTCTAAGCTGATAACATGGGTGCTGAATCGAAAATGAAGATGTTTATCACACACACGTTGCACAGGCATCGTGTCCTGATTGTTGAACACCTCAAGGATATTTCACACCATTAAATCTTTTGTAGAATAAAATTATTATATAGCTTTGCTACAGAGAAAAAGCTTTTTAATAGCAATAGTTCATATCAAACTTTAACAGAGGTAAAGCACTTGGCTGACCTATGAGCCTCTTGCCGAGAAGAAGAGCCAACCCACCCCACCCCACCCCACCCCACCGAATCATTAACCTGCCACCTTACCCTGACAGGATGAACGATGAGTCAAGAAGACTCTTTGAGGAGCTCGGGAGCACGGCTGTGAAGGAGCTGGCCTTCAGGGACAGCTGGGTGTTTGTAGGAGCTAAGGGCATCGAGAATAAGAGTCCTTTTGAGCAGGTATGTTACAATTACTGCCAGAAAAGTTTCTCACCAGACGATATCGTCAATGCAATGACAATGGTGTCATGATACAGAATTAATGAAATGCAATAGAATAATTAAATGATGTACCTATGTGCCAGTGTCAGAAGAGAAAGTCTTGTAATTGTTGTAGTTTTTTTATACTGTGGATAATATATCATAATAGACTAAAACCTGAATATTGCCATAATAATAAATATTCTTCCCAACAAAATTTGACAACACATTTTCAGAACCAATGTTATAGGATGTAGTGTAGTGATGTTCACCAACTAGCAGGTTGTTGGCTCAGCCTGTTTTCAGACGTGTGGTTTCACAGTGAGATGACCCACGCAGACCATTTTCCAAACAAGAACAATGTTTTTGAGATTAATTAATTAAATTAATTAAAATATTATATATAAAGTAATATGTAAATTTTACAGCAACTGGTTGGTGCATTTCAAATCCTGGAAAACAATCTTGCTGATTTGTCCCTTTTAGTTATCCACATATGGATAATGATGTATCAACACATAATATTCATTATGTGTTAATACATCATTAGCCTGCTAATTAAGATCATGATAAATACTCTGTCAGGTTTAGCATAGTCGAAAGGCATTTGATTATTATTATGCACTCACTTTATAAACAGCTTCTATCCTGTTAGACCCTGTTTTTTTTTTTTTTAATTGCTTCTGTTTGTTTTTTTCCATTAGCGTATGAAGAATAGTAAGAACAGCAACAAGTACGAAGGTTGGCCTGAGTCTCTGGAGATGGACGGCTGCATTCCCCTTCGGCCCCCGCTGGAAGGATAACTGCCATGTCCTCCCTCACATGCACTTCACTAGAACCTGCAGTAGCTGCAGTGGATCCAAATGACTGTGTAAGCTAAAGAGTGAACGCCTGAAAACTCCCAAGATTTTGTGCCACGTAACCTTTTTTTATTTGTCTTCTCATGGCAGAAACAAATGCTTACATAAAAGTTTGTCTCTGGACTTAATATATTTATAATAACTGGAACCTGAAGATTTGTGCAACTTTCCAGTTGGTAAAGGAAGAAGAAATGTCAAGGGAAATTTGAAAGACCAAAAAGTGACAGCGACTAGCGAATGAATACAGCTGGAGTAGGTCTTCCAAAGTCATTGTAGGAAATGGATATATTTCCTCTCCAAGTCTGCCTACAGGGTGTCAACATTGTGAGCTTGAGCAACAGGATCATGAGGTGTTGAAGCCATTGACACGTAACCAGTTTCACATGAAGGTAAATGGAAACCTAATCCACATCAGCACCAGACAAACCTAAATCTAAAGTACTCTAGTAGTTTTTAAATGTTCTACTACAGTCCATGTCTGTGTGCAGATTTTATATTTAATTCTGTTAATATATATTTTCATCCCGTGGTATATAAAAGACTGTGATATTGTTACCTGTATGCATAGTGTTAGCTGTCATTGTTTCCTAAGAACCTGGTTCAAAGCATTTACTACTCTCCAGATGTTTACAGTTTCTTTTTAGCAATAATTATTCATTTTCTTTCGATTGAAGCTATTTATATTAAGACTTTTATGAAAGACACAACAGACTGATCGTATGGGTTCATCATAACACTGCCCATGGTTTTAATGTCGTCTCAGGCCTGTGAGCATTTTTCCACGGAGTGCTTTTGTTTTTTTTTTAAGTGTGTGGTTGTGTATTCCGTCTTTTTTTTAATTTCTTTTTTTAGATTTTGAATGTATCCACATGGAGTCTTGCAAGCAGAACATGTAGGAAATATTCAACGCATAGAAATAAGAAAAGATTATGTTAGGAGTCCATTTCAGCTGCTTTTGTCATCTGACCTCTAAGTGTCATTGAATTTCTACAAAGCATCCAGGCCTGTGTTTATTTTATGACAATGTGGATGAATAATAAAAAAATAAAAAATGCTCGGATATTTTGTCTTGAGTCAGCTGAGGTACTTAAAGAAATTCACTAGAGGGCGACAGAACTCAGAGTGTCAGTGGGGTTACTCGGTTCATTGTGCCCAGAGCGTGTACTTCACCCAGCATATGTCAGGCTGCGGATCCACGCTGCGGACTACACGTGGAGGAGGTCAGGTTGATCAGTGGAGTCGATGGCAGCTCAGCACCGCGTGTATCACGATGAATCGTTGACCTGTGACGGTGCAACGATAAAACAAAGAACGATTCCGTGCTTCCACTGAAATGTGTTGCGGGGCCTTCACGTGTTGTTCGAAAAAATGCGTGATTTCGAGATGCGTGTTAGCGAATGACCCTAAGGACCATGGGTTCTGATTTTTGCAAAGGGAGAAGCAGATATAGGCTACATGATAAGTCTTGATGTCATGATTGGTAAAAAAAAAAAAGGCTTGTCTTATTTACTTATTAGTCGGTTAATACATATAAGTTAAAATACACACATTTCAAAACACAGGAATACGAATAAACAGACATACAAATTGCATAGTATGCACATGTATATACAATCAAGCATGCACATACACATTAATTAAGCATGCAACTAAAAGAAACAGTAACTACATAAAATCTTATAAAAGGCCTGATTTAAAGAAATAAGTATCTAGATGTGTATAATAATTTCCAAACCAAAATCTCAAAAATACAATAATCACAGTTACCATAAAATCCACCATTTACAGGCTATTTCATAAAAGATTGAAACCCTTTTTTTTTTTTTACCAATTCCTTCTGCAATATTACCTCTCAACATGTACAATATTAACGCTCAACTTCATGTGCAGTATGTGCAATTTTACTGTTATCATTTCATGTACAATATCAGTTCCATTCATTTTGTAAACAGTATATGAACAATACTTTTCATTTGTCATTTCCAATAGCTTTCAGGGCCTTGTTTTATTTCTTACTCATCAAAAGTTATATTTTTATACACTTATACTATTCTTATCTGGTAAGATCTGGTACAAGATCTACATTTCATCTTATCGTATCTTATCTTATCCATCGTATCTTGTCCTATCTTATCTTACCACATCTTATCACAGCTTGATGTATCTTATCTTATATATTCATATAATATCTTATTGCATCTATTCAGATCTTGATGAATCTTGTCTTATCTTATTGTATCCTATCTTATCTTATGTATCTTATCCTATCATGTTGTATCTTATCTAATTGTATCCTGTCTTATCTTATCATATTTTATTTTACTGCATGTTATCATGTCTTGTCGTATCTTATCTCATCTCATCTCAACAGTGGCAGCTGAAACTTCAGACGCTCTTGAACGCAGCACCACAGTCACGTAAGAAGCCGTTGGCTCCAGCATACGGGCTGTGGTGTAAACACGTAGCGCTGCTGCCCTCTTGCGGCGAAGCGGTTCAACTGCCATCCATTCAGGATGAAGATGGTGATGAAGAGGATGAAGATGATGAAGATAAGCCCTGTGGCAAGTGTCGGCTGATAGGCGGAGCGGCTCAGTCCACACGAGAACCTGCTGGAGGCCGCCGGAGCCGTGCGTTGTAAATTATGTACATAAGTGACTGACTGATATATTCGGGCTAACGCGTGGATGTTGCGGCCGCGCGGCGAGTCTGGAAATCGGTGAAGCAAACGACCCAAGCGTCGCTCGGACTGGAACACGTCCGCCAAGTGCCCCGCGCCCGTCTCCCCGCACACGCACCGGCCGAGGCTCGACGGCTCCGCTGGGGATCCTCACGCCGACTCCACCGCAAGAGAGCGAAGCCTGGATGAAATCTAACGAGGGAAACAAACGGACGAGTGTTTCTTCTCCAACGGGTTTATTTTTGTAAATGTATTTTTCATCAGAATCAACGGGTGTGGAGTCATTTTGTAGACAGAGCTCGTTGAGAATCTAACGGTTGTAAATAGCTGTAGGAATACAGAAGTGAGTTGTCCATAGCTGTCTGCTCTCACCGGCTGTTTTTTATTTTTTATTTTTTAAACACATCTCCGGACCGACGAGCAACCATGTTGCATTGGGGTGAGTGATGTTTGTTGTTATTTTCTACCACAGATTGTAAACAGTCATTTTCGTTGATTTTGGCTTTGAATCAAAGGCTGTGATCACTCGCACATTATAATCACCATTTGCGAGTTTAATCTCCACTTGGTCTCTTATTGGCTGTTTATCGTCTCCTGTGGCAGCTTATTAATCTGAAATAAATCAAGTGAAATCACTCCAGTCAAGTGCAGAGCAGCTGGGCTGACTCACCGACAGACCCACAGACACCACACCGTCCATCCCCATCACCTGAACGGTGTGCTCATGGTCCCTGAAGACCAGGCAGGGTGGGTGGGTTTGAGGGGGGATTTGTTTGATTTGTGGTGGTCTCAGCCGTCTCAGACACCATGTTCTCGCCCTGCACTGTGACTGGACTCTGTGTCTTCCAGCGTTGGCATGGCGTTTATAGAGTCAGCTGAGCTGCATGCCAGCCAATAGCTGCACTTCATGGAGCCTGCACATCCAGGCACTACTGTGTTGTATATGCTGTAGCCTATAAATAACGTGCATTAATTGCATTTTGCTTCAGAGACACACCATGCTGTACGACCGGTCCCATCGTGGGGTCTTTGCTTTGAACAGTTGGCACAACATGTCCCCTATATGTAGCAAAACACATGAATTGATAGCTTTTTTACGATTGCTTATGGTGTCCATAAATTATGTATAACACTAAGCATAACCTCCTCAGCTCCTGTATTGATATTATATATATATAAGTAAAAACATTGCGTCTGATAGTCCCACTGAGAGCAATAGTGAGTTACTCAAAACATTAGAGAGGATGCTTCCTCTTCTGAAAACAGCTGACAGCTGATAAACGACTAAAATCAACACTCTGCTGATCTCCGGCTTTTCCATCGTCCATAAAAGTTCACACGCCATTTATGGGAATGAAAGGAGATCAGTCGTTGATATGAGCTCCAGGAGAAGTTAAGCCACTTTAGTAACATGTAATCCTGATTCATCATTGGTTGATTAAGGTGCCGTCCTCTCTCACCTGGATTAGAGGGATCCTCTGGATCGGGCTGGTTCTGCTCACTGAGGGGAATAAAAGAGAACAAAAAAGGGGGAGTTAGATAACACATATGCTCTCTGTATCTCTCGCTCTCTTTCTCTCTTCTCTCAGGGAACAGTACTCTGTGTGTGCTACCTACAGTCCACTCTCCCATGCTTGACCTGGATTGGACAAAAGTCCTCGTTGTGTTTTTCAGCCTTGAGTTTCCCCTAATGGGAAGAGAACAGTAGTTGTGTGTTTGATTCTAGTGGCCAGCTTTTGATATTTTTCTCATCAGATTGCCAAAAAACGCTATTGAGACTAAAGACACACGGGGAAGCAGCATGTCCTCAACCAAGTCGTGAGGAGGGAGCAGTTAAGGAGCCGTCTTGATGTTATTATCCTCTCTTGTTCAAGTGCACCCACACTTTGATGCTTTTCAAGGTGAACCTTTCCATCTCCTCATTACAACATTTGCTTGTGACTTCCTTCTCTTCTTTCGCTGTGCACGTTGCACAGCTTGTCCTGAACCTTGTCATTCGTTCTAACAGTGCCTCCTGTTTTTTATTGTGACAGCAGCGCAGACAGAAAGTGTGTCCTTTGAAGGTTCACACCTGCCACTTACAGTCATGTGTCCTGCGGACAAGACGACGTGGCCTCGCTCAACAAATCCGCTCTTTGTTTTTAACCTGGTCAACAGCTGAGCCACAGATTTTAGAGGCAGTCCTGTGATGCTTGTCATTAGGCCCTTTTGAATTCGGGCCAGCAGCTGTCAGAACCTGCGGAACCTCTGCCCTGACTCCCCACATCACTCAGCCTCCATCTCTTCTTTAAAGCTCTGTGGGGCTGAATTGGAGAAAGTCTTGATAGATTAAAGCGGCACATTAATCATTTTGAGGAAGGTTGTTGTTGTGACAGGCATTGCTTTGAATATGGTTTAGACTCCTAGCAGCCAGCCAAGTAAATTCAACCAGACTTTTCTTATCGCTCAGTGCATCTGTTGAACCTTCATTGTCGGACTGTTTTGTAACAGAGCTCAGTTAGTGGAGTGATGAACAAAGGGTATTATGCAAACTATTTAGCTGGAGGCTACATGCATACTTCCTCATAATACTTGTTCTATCATGACTTTACTCCTGAGTTCTAGCTAACCTAAGTGCACCTTTGTTGCACTCTTTATTAGACATATACATTTTGAAATGGCAAAATCCCCGGTTCCACCCCTTATCCTGAGTTGAATGGGTTCTTCCCTGAGGTTCCACTAAGGTTCCTGGAAATCTGTTCAGGTGTTTGTGTGTGATCTTGCTTACAAACAAACCAACCAACCAACAAAACAGACAGGGGTGAAAGGTAATGAATCAGAATCTGAAATTCAAGATTATCGTTGAAAATAATTTTGTGAATTTTAAACTAAAGATGTGACTAATGATTTTTTTCATCACCATCATTTATTTATTTCGATGAATCATTTCATCCACCTGTTTCAGAAAATGCCCATCACATTTCCACGATCTCTCATGCACGGACACTCACGTTACATTAGCAGAGAATGCAATGCATCACATTAACACAAATCTGTGTGTGTGTGTGTGTGTGTGTGTGTGTGTGTGTGTGTGTGTGTGTGTGTGTGTGTGTGTGTGCGCGCCACTGTCTCTGTGACACTGGACACAGCAACGGAAACTATTCCTATGTTAATGTAATCACCTTGTGTTTTCAGCCTTGTTCAACCACTAAAAGCATTCTCCCTCCTCTCCTCTCTCTCCACTCTCTCCTCTCCTCTCCTCTCTCTCCGCTCTCTCCTCTCCTCTCTCTCCTCTCGCTCCTCTCCTCTTCTCTCCCTCCTCTCTCTCCTCTCCTCTCCTCTCTCTCCTCTCCTCTCCTCTCCATGCACAACTGTAGCTGCTTTTGTTCGGGCAGAAATTTAGCTATAGTCACTGCTTTCATTCACACAAACATTGGCACATATTTTATCAGGCAAAATCCCACCCAGCCCCCTTTTTTGTCTGTGCCACCCCCCTCTCTTTATCTCCCTCTTGTTCTCTTTCACACACACATTTTTCCCACCCCTTCTGCTCGCCCCCCTCGCGCCATCTCTCCTTCCCTCTCGCTGTCTCTTTTTGAAACTCCGCTGTACGCTTGCTCCCACCGACTACAATCCCTTCCTGTCCCCCTCGCCACTTTTTATTCACTCTTTTCATCTGCATGTCCCCCTCAATTGCAAAAAATGCCACTGTCGGCGTGCACACACACACACACACACAGACACACACACACCAAACAAGAGTCCCCTGCCTCTTCCTTTGTCTGCCTGCCTAATTTCGCAGCAGCAGTTTGGTTCCACTGGATTAATGTGTATATCCCCATAAAATTGCAGTGCATTTGATTTCTGTTGGTGCACTTTTTGTTTGTTTCTGATGTTGGGCCTCTCTCTCCTCGTCTTTGTGCACAAAAAAGTTCCAGCGAAAACAAACATGGCCTCCAGTGGATTTTCAGAATATAATAGAAATCAAATCCTTTGCAGTCGTGAAGCAGAGGTGTCACAATGATGTTCACTGCACATGTCTGAAATGGTTAGGCAGCTGCAGGTGTTCTCACCGTGCAGGAGCCTCACAGAAGCCTGGAGGGCAGGGAGAGTGCAGCACGTCATATGTTCAGTTCTCATGTATTACAGCAATGATGGAGGAGTTGGATGCTTCCTGGAGTCGTTTTGCTGCCACAGCGAGATCTCACAGTTTCAGCCACAGCGTAGGTTTTATCTACAACTTTGATTCACCACTATTGCCCACATGACCAGTTGCTTGGTCATTTGGCTGGTGTCAGGAAATTCCTCATGGCATTCTTTTATTGAAAGGGGACATGCTGTGTGGGTGCCAGTGAGGGTTTGCTTTTAATATATATATATATATGTGTGTGTGTGTGTGTGTGTGTGTGTGTGTGTGTGTGTTGGTCCATGTGTAAAAAAGAGTGAGATGGACAAAGAGAGAGAGAGAGAGAGAAAGCGAAATCCAGTTTGTTCGAAACCTGCTGGTGTGTGTCAATATCACACCATCTGTGTGTGTGTATGTGTGTGTGTGTGGGTGTGTATGTGTGTGTGTGGGTGTGTGAGTTTGTGTTTGAATGGGAGACTGGGCGGGTTTTAGAGACAGTGATGGGGTTGAACATGTTTGATGTACTGTGATAACCCTGTCCGGTATGTGGCTTTCATGGGAACTCCTTGCCCTGAGGACATTGGCAAATAAGCTTCTGTTTAAAGGGCAACTTCCCTCTCTTTATCGCCTGTTGTTTTTCCAATTTTATGCTCACCACATCCTGTTAGCCTTTACCTTTTGAGTCTCACTGTACACTACAGTACACCCCCTCTGGGTCACCCTAACACAAATGATTTTCGAGAACCTGAGCAGCCAAAGTTTCACATTGTACGTTTAACAACCCTCATGTTTGACAAAAACGCTATTTGATTTCATCATATTGAAGTCAGGTAAATGTGATGGGTATTTTTTATGTTACCTGTTAATTAACAGCTAACTTGATTGATCAAAATCACACTGTAACTGGAGATTTCAATATAAAGTATATCCAGAGTATCAGACCATCATGGCCTTAACATCAGGACGACTGCTTAGTAATTTTGAACATGTGAATGAATATTGATTTGTCACATATATGATTAACTGAATCAGATAAAACACACCCATCCGTTTGGTTATTTTATTTATGCATTTAGACATTTTTTCACCACAATTCACTGAAAAATACAAATTTAAAATTACAGTTTAATGTAACAGGTGACATCTGTGTCAATGGTTTCATAATTAGTTTTGTTAAATAGTGTTATGAGGTGTGGAGCGTGTTATGGGAGGCCATTAGCTTAATCCTAATTAAAATTGTTTCTCATAGCGTATGTCTGTGTCTCGGGAATGTTGCTTGACTAGAAACCTCTCCCGTTCCTCTGGAGCCTCTTAGCAGTTGGTCCATATCGGCCAATTGTGTTTTTAATTTGATTGACAGGTACTAGCATTGCATGTCAGACTCCTTTGCTTTGAGCCTGAAGAGACAGCAGGCCTGATGTGAGTGCTAATGACTGCAGCATTATAAAGGAGATAATAGCTCCTGTGGGCCACAAGACGAGCCCCTCGGTGGTCATGGTTGGCTTTACTCATTAAAATTGTAGAAAATGTCTAGACTTCATGCTGCAACTTTGACTGAGGCTCTCTGGCAGGGAGGAGCAAATATCAGGGGCCAAGACTGACTGTACTTGTGAATACCTTCATAGCTAAAAGCGCTGCAACCCGAGACAAGAGTCAGGGGGTGGTTCTTGACAATCCCACCTGGTCAGTAGTTAAATAGTATTTGTTGAGTTGTGAACTAATATGCAAATTGTCCTGAGGCCCAAACGCGACTGCAATTTTTACTTTTTCGTTAATGGCACCATTTCACTCCCAGGACAACTGGGTGCAGTGCAGCTTTTGTTGATGGTATGCATTAGCATCTTCTCTTCCTGTTCAGCTCCGTAATACATGGTGACTTTATTGCTTTTGCCAATCGTCTTTCAACCCTGTCTTGTATATACGAGCTCCAGAGTGACTTCAGACTCATTGGTGTCCTCCACAGATCACTGTCTGTCAGGAGGCAGAGGAGATATAACACCTGTATGAACATATGGCGAGTGATAGAGGACATGAGAAGATTGAGATGTCAAAAATGTCTCACTAGTACACACCCACATAAATCCAAACAGTGAGTGGGTCACGGTATTGCAGGAAGATTGCCATGTCACTGTGTTTAGTTTCACCTGCTGCTGGCAGAGGATGGTACTGAGGACCAATTTGAAACGGTCTCTTATCACCCAGCCTGGATGGTTGAGTGGGTGCACACTGAGTTACACTGTTGGCTCACGCCCGATCTGATGGTAATCATAATCGTAGTGTGTGTATTTATGAGCCCTTTGTTCTGGATGTGTGGCAGTCACTCTGCTACAGTTGGACAGTCCCCTCCTGTGTATGAATTATTCACACTCAACTGGCCTATAGTTCATCATCCATATTTAATGGTTGGGATCGTGTACTAAAAAACTGCAGCTTTCTGTTTACGAATGGAGCTGTTGAACACAACTTAAATCACAAGACCCTGATGAATGTGCTGAGGGCATGTGTTGACCAGGCTAGGTCGATATTCCCAGAAGACTCGAGTTTAAACATCAGATTTTAGCTCATCACAACAGCAAAGCTTTTGTTTGGCAGATAAAACAGGTTAAACGGTTGCTCTTTGATATGAGTTTTGAAATATTCTTATAAATACTGGTAGTAATTTCAGTAAATGTCGAAGACTGATTTACGCCTCTGAGTGAAGTTTGTGGAGTAAGGTCTCCTCAATGAGCAGAGAATGACACACACTTGATAAAGAGCAAACATATTTTACTAATCTGAGCAATAATCTGAATTTTAGGCGATGAAAAGTTATTAGAATTTTATGGAGCAAGTCTTAAAGAATTTTAGGTGGGTATTTGTTTATGTTAACAGCCATTTAATGCTGCATCTTTCGAGATTGAAATGAACGGATTTTTCGAGAACTGTTTTGGTTCATGCACAGTTTGTAATGTCTCCATGTATTCTAATTCATTCTTAACCATGCAGATATTACCACAGTGTAATATAACTACAAACAAGAGCAACGTGGTAAATATACTGATACGTGGGCCTCCAAACCCCCGGCTCATCAGCTTGGTTATAGAAACTCTATTCTGACTGCCTCTGCCTGTGTTTTGCGAGATCACATAGGGTTTTGAGGTTTATTCTCTTCTAAGCTACTTCACCTTACCTTCAACTATGGGGAAGTCCAACAAATATCTCTGTGATTCTGATATTTCGTCATCTTCCCTACAAACAGCCATTGAAAACATTTCTAGTGTCTCTGCGTTCTCTTTGCAAAAATGAGCAGTGTTTGGTCAGAGAAGAAAGAGCTGCTGAATCAGTTAGAACTCTTCTTCTCGACTGGAATGTTTCAGCTTTTCATGTCCCCCTGTCCAGTTTGATTTACTTTACTTCGGGCGACTGTGATGGTCCTGTTTTGAAGATTTATTTTGTGAAATTACAATTTGGCTCTCCCATTTCACATGTCTTTGGCTTGGGCAACGCACCGAACCCCAAATTGCCCCTGACAGCTGTGTGATTGATGTGTGATAGAGAAAATGATGCACATAGATTTACTGAAGGAGTGTGTGTGTGTGTGTGTGAGTGTGTGAATGGCAAAACTGTACTATAAAGTGCTATTAGTGGTCATCGAGACACAGTGAAACACTAAATAAATACATATCATTTACAAGGCACCCTCTGACCTATTTAAATACAAACAGTGTCTGTCTTGCATTCTCATAGAGAGAGCGAAAATTTAAATTAAAATCACAGCCACTCTCTCCTTTGACTGTCTGAATATTAATGCAATGTTTTGCTTGTGTCTTGCAGGGTTCACTTGAAGATTTTCACACAACAGTGAAAGAAAAGTGCTGCAGCTCTCCCAACAGTCAAAACTCCTGGGAGCTGGGAGACACGTGGTCCTCTTTAATTTGTGCTGCATCTAAGTGGGCTCTGAAGAACATGTAGGAAATGTTGAGGAGGACAGTGAGGACAGAAACTATTCTCCAGCAGCTGTGGTCTAACCCTCCTGTGCTACGGTAAATCATCAAAGAAGAGGAGAGAGATAAAAGGAGAAGGGTCAGTAGTTTGACTAGGGGAAGGCTTCAGGCATTGACAGCACTGGGAGGACTGCCTGTGAGACTAGAAGGGGTGAGTGGGTGACCACAGAAGGAGAGAGACGGGGACTGACGGAGGAGCAAAGGTTTGGAGGAGGCGGAGGAGGAGGTCCAGGAGGGGTGGGAAAGGCCCTTCCCCATGGCTACTGACCCAGGAGAGCCCACAGGCACTGAGGACTCCTCAGAGAAACCTGATGGACATAGAAAAGAGGACACGGAGCAGGAGGGCAGGGACAATCATAAGTGGGAGAGGACACAGAGCACACCCTCAGACCTCTCCTCTTCCAAGACTCCAGGCAGGGAAGCGAAAGGAGGAGATGATGGAGGGATCCAAGGAGGAGGAGGACGAGGGGAAGCCAGCCAGGAGAGAGAGGAGACCACGCTCAAACCAATTTCACTCTCCACACGCTCCTTGTCAGTCGACACTGGTCAGAAACAACTGAGGAGGGAGAAGCGTTTTTTCAGGAAGAGCGTTGAGATTTGTGAGGAGGACGATGAGTTGGAGGTGCCCCCTGAGGCACCCCACAGTGCCCCACACCTGGAGCTGCGTTCCTTAGACTCAGTATTCACCAGCAGTGCCCAAAAGCAAGGGGCTGATTTGACCTGCACTGCACTTGGCAATGACCCATCTTGTGCCAGCTCCAGCCAGGAGCCTGGAAAAGATGCTCCTTCCTCCACAGCCACCCAGAGGGTGAAGGAAAGGGACCGTGAGCTGGAAGAGGAAGCAGAGATGAAGGCTGTGGCTACCTCTCCTGGAGGAAGGTTCCTCAAGTTTGACATAGAACTGGGCAGAGGAGCCTTCAAAACTGTTTATAAAGGCCTAGACACTGAGACCTGGGTGGAGGTGGCTTGGTGTGAACTCCAGGTAAGAAAAACTCTTCAATTGTAATTTCTGATTACTGATTTCTGTAGCTGGTATAATAAACTGAAGATGAAATAATCCTCAAGTTATCAATCCACATAAATTATCCAGATGTCGTGAAAGTTGAATGGAAATACTCTATGTGAACAAATAATATATCCAATTAGTGTGCTGCAGTGAACTTTAAACCCAGCGATGTGCTTTTGAAGTGAATATCATTAGATGTGTCCCAGGAGCCCTTTCTCTTGAAATCTGGGAATCTCAGCATCTCGTTGTCTGTTTGTTATTCATACTGTGAGATAGCAGTTCAGTGGAGACCAGGGTGAAAAGGAGGAGCATGGCTTGTAGTTGAGTGACAACACAAAGTGAAAATGGAGGCTTTGCTTTTCTAGGGCTGTTATAAATAATGGAATTGAAGGCTGGAAGCAGTTCTTGTTGTTGTAAGAGGATATCCTATGTTACATTCAGCATTTCCTGCAATTGCCTGAATTCATTCATAAAATGTAAGGGGACTATTCATTTTAAGGGGATCTTATTAATGACACTGTAGTTTAGGTTAAGGGTTTGAAATCAGGAAAGGGTCTCCTCATTAACCAGGATTACAGTCTCCTCATTGCTCTTGAGAATCAACATCTTGTTTACATATGTTTCTCTATGCTTGGTTACTTGATAGAAAATAGCTTTTGAACAAGCATATTGTGTCATCAATCAAGCAGTTGAACAAGTTTTGAAATAAGAAGTTATTGTTCCAACAAACTAAACAGTGCATGGCACTGCCTCCTCTTGGAAATAGAAATAGTCATGTGAAAAGGAGGCTCTGAATGAGGCATATTATGTGAGCGCAGAACAAATGTAGGTGTAACTACAGCAAACATCCATGTAACAAACCCTCTGTCACATTATTGCAGTAGGAGGAATATAATATAGTATGATGCACGTTTTATACCAGAGCACTGCCGTGTTCATTATGCTCGGACGTAATGGGAAACATTGTTAGATGGTGCAGATTCAACATGTGGTGGGAGACAGACTTGTGGAGGAGAGTAGCAACGCATCCCTCTGACTCTTGGCCCCACAATAGAAAGCAGTGTTATGCTAAGCCCTCTGATTTGACTGCTGGCTTTGTGTGAGAAAAGTCAGTCATGTGTTTGGTTTGGAGCTAATTCCCAAAACAAGAGCCTTGGCTAATCCTTGAGATCAGGCTCTGTCTGTTGGACTAACAAGCAGCAGGCACGTCCCCAACACCTTTTCTGGTCCAACATGTAGTGAATCAGCCTCACATCAGCAGTCGGGCTCCGGTGACGGTATCTTACATTGCCAAAGATCCCCACCAGACAGTCCTCTTTCAACTTTGCTTTATTTTGCCTTGACTCAGTAGTGTGAGCAAACCTGAGCATGTAAAACAAGTGAAAAGTGATTAGGCTTAAGCTGATTGTCGCACCCATATTGCATCTGCAATATCCAATTTTCTCTCCACAAATGCTTTGGGTCAAACTAAATCCCACATTTTGTACTTGCTATCGCATTAGCCATCATGGAGCACGAGGACATTAATGGAATATCTGGGACATCAATTAGTCAAACTCATTTTATTGTGTAATTATATTCCATCAAAAACAAATGCACATGACACCGGACAAGAGCAACAAGAAGGGCGTGCGAGATAGAAAAGAGCCACAGGGGGTGATGGTGAGAGAGACACAGAGAGAGACGATGAGCAAAACAGAAGATTACCGTGGCATCCCTCCTGCTGAGCAATCATTTAGCTAATGCTAAGTTACCACATGCAGGGAAAACACATGAACACACACACACAGAGCACGTTGGCTTGGTCAGACACCTATTGATAGATCCAGTGCAGGAATCTTGTCACTCCACTTCACCAAAGCTTGTACATAGGCTGGAGAATAGTGATCAGAATAATAATGATAGGATATAATTAGCTCTCTGTGTTAATAATGATAGAATTGATGCAAGCACTAATTTGTCCTGCTGGTGAAGGGTTTTTAGTGATGGACAGGTTTTTTAAGACAGTGCAGGGTAGATGAATCTCAGTTAAGGATGATTATCTTGTCTACTTTTACCTCTGCCAAGGAGGTTATGTTTTCAACCCTGTCCGTTTGTTTGTTATACATTTCACTGTTTTCCCAGGAAGTTATTCATGGATCTCAAAGAAAAAGATCAGGCACATTTAGGAAACTAATATCTGCAAAGTGTGTGTAATTTGGTGCAGCTTGATTGAATTTAATGTATAGGGCTTTGGTGAGGGTATGTGCTTTACTGAGTGCCATTCTTGTTGTAATTGTCGTGAAAGACATACAACTGTATAATAGTTTTTTAAGTTAACACAATTCTTCACATTCTTGTTATTCTGAAAAACAGTCTGGTTAAAATTACAGGTCATATTATTTAAACTGCAGACACAGAGGAGCTGTGCGTGTTCCATAATGATATAGGATGATTTGCAATATATAGCCAACAGTTTGATGCTATCCCCACTATCCTGTGAGACTGCAGCCTGGGAGCACCTAGTTCCTCTCCTCATTTGTCCAAATAGAGAGGAAGTCAGGGGATTAGCTCTCCAAATGTAGCTTGAAAGAATGGGTAATTAAAGTTCACAGTGTGGACACCATGTCTCTTCCTTTCTCCCCATTTCCCTGTGAATTTCTCACCTAAAAGGGCAGGGCTATATCTCCCCTGCTGGTTCATCACCATCCGTCACCCAAAGTAGATGTTTTTATGTCTTGTGTATATGTATTATATTTCTGTGTGCGAACTGTTGCTCCCTGTCCGTCTGTGTCAACATGACACTGTATGCCCACCACCCTCTCTCTCTCTCTCCGTCTCACTTGTCCTCCCTCTCTACCTCCATCTCTCCTCCATCACTTTTTGTCTGTGTGAGTGAGCATGCAGAGTGATCCAGGGAGTTAATTACAGTGGGTGCCTGTCAGGCGGGAACAAAAACCTTGCACAGACAGCACAACTCGGGCGGCAGAAACCAGACTGGTTCAACCCAGTCATCCCAGACCGTCCCTGCCCAGCCCGGCTCAGCCTGGCTCAGCCCAGCCACACTCACAGAACTATAAACACAAGGGCAGCATTCAGATCTGAATTAGTACACTGCCGACGGTGGCCATGATGATTACAACCTTAAACATTTAAAATATATTCTGACAGCATTTTAGTTTTTGTCTGCAGGTATATGTAAGCGTAGGATACTGACTGCTACAAACACCACGCAGTGCTCCTCAGTGAGAACACTGATCCTTACTAAGAGCACCTGACACCTCGAGCTCTGACATAGCTGAGAGTTGTATTAATATTAGATTTCACCTCTGACAGAGTTGAGGCCACTTGTTCTCCTTTATAAAGTTGAGACCCCCTGTTTGACAGCTGATATGATAATTTAGCCATTCACAAAGTTGAGAGATTATCTCTGGCTGCGCCAACCGTCTGCCACATATTAGAAGTAATAGATGTTTAGAGAACTGTATTATTTGCTTTAAGTCTTTACACAAGTAGTTTTTCTATTCATAATTCTTTGGCTGAAACAAACAACATCAGTAAAGGATTAACTTGATTACTTCTCATAATGAAATACCAGTCGGCTTAGGCCAGGAAAAGCAGAGGCAGACTATTTATGGTTGACTAAAATTAGTGGAGGCCACATTGAATCAAGACTACAGCTGACTAGACCCGGATGGAATTGATCCAACCAAACTGACTAGACACATGTTCAGCTAGGGCACTAACAGTTGGCAAGTATCCCTTGGGCTGTGTCCTCCCATCACAATGTTCATTACCCAACCCGCTAACAGAGATTCAATTCCTATTGAATGTTTGAAACATTGACCACACAACACACAAGCATTTACTGTATAGCCTAATCCAAATTCAATACATTGTGAGCACTTGTGATATGATTATCATCTGAGCCCTCTGAAGCTCCTTTTAGGATATTTGCAAAGTGGAACTGATATCCTGTAATCCATGTCCATGTAGAAAAATGTGTATTCACACTTTAACTGACTTGGTTTCCATGGTTTCTTGGACCTGCCATAGCTCAGATGTAGTTTATCATCTAGTTAGACAGCTATATTAAAGCAGCGAAGTTGCCTAGACCTATGTGCAACACAGGCGCCACAGCTATAAAACATACACCAACATGTAACCCCCTGCTAACAAGTGGCCTCCTTTAGAGAAATTGCTTGTGTATTGTATTGGTTACAAGGAACTAAAGAGTTTGTTGAACTTGGCCCACTGGCCTGAGGTTTTAATCCGATATGCAGGCCAGCCCTTTTCCAGCGATATATCTTGTTAGTCTGAGCTGTTGTAGCTTACAGTAATCTAATCCTAGCCACCCGCCACCTCAGATTTTCAGGCACTGACATGCTTACACCCACACTGTAGGGCAACACATGCTACATACACCCTCATAGAAGGTCAAATATCTATTGAACGCAAGAATAATAATCCCCTACGTGTTGATAGTGCCCTAAACCAACCTTATTTTTCCCACTGCAGCTAAGGCATGCTCCTCCTTTAGAGAAAAATGTTATCTCGTGTAGTTAGTGTGATATATGATACTCATGCATGTGTTTGCCAGAATAGACATTTTAGGACTCACATGCTTTGGCCCTCGTGACCCCAGCCTTACCATCTCCTAAATGTGCTTTGCAAGCCATATCCTGTCCATTTCCCAATGTGTTTTATGAGGCTACTTAACCTTCAGCTTGACTTTCTGCTTTACCAGATGTCAGATCCAAAAAAATCACATACAAACAACTTAGGTCTAACTCTGTTTACCAGGTCGTAGTACCGAGAGGCCTTCCATAGGCTTCTGTGTAACAGCAGCATTGCATGACCAATCTGACTATATGCTGGTGTGGGCAAAATAACAGGAACACAAAATACAATGTAATCAATTACAACAGTTACAAATATCATACAATGCAAACTACCTATATAAAATGTATAATGTTCAGAATTGTATCAAAAGGGTGTTTCTGTTTTGTATGAGTTTTCTGATGTTGTGAGGTGTTTGTGATTTGTCCAAGATATGTAGCTCCATCCGGATCCATACCAAATTTCACCTCTCCATACAGTAAATATTAGCACTCTGCACATTAAATATATTTAATACATTTTCTCATAAAGATCTCTACTTCTAGAGATATTCATAAAAATGTTGAAAGATGTAATTGCGAAGTTAAAGAAAGTCATGGGTTCTTTCCCGTCACATACCGCAGAAAAATCAATACAAACCAACAAACAAACAGGCAGGGGTGAAAAACTTCCTGGGAGGTGGTTAAAATGTATATATATTTGAACATCTAAAACAATCGCAACTCAAATTTAATATCATCTTGGAACACGTCAAATTTTCTAGTGCTGTTGAATACGTAAAACTTTACATTTTTGCCTTTGCAGAGGCTCATATGGCCATGAAAATATACAATTCAATCTGTGTAGTTGAAGAGGAAGTGGCTCATTGCAAACCCAACAAGTGCATGTGAGGGCGAAACCCACACTGGTTGTTTATCATTTTTATGGAAGTTGTCCACCCACTCTGCTTAGAGCCAAGTGCATGTAGAGTCATGAGTATTTGTCTGGATAACAGTCTGTAATTAAACCAAGTAACTAATTTACAATAACTAACAATCATTTTGGCATCTACATACTTATATGCATAATTTTTGGAAGTAGTTAATATTATTTTTTCATTATACTGCTATGTGTTACAAATATTATTTGGTTAAGCTGCAGCAGTTCAGACGAGGAAAAAGCAGACAAGTCACATCAGAGCCATCACATATGTTTTTATTCATTCAAGTGTCTGTTCTGTCCCACTTTCTCTTGTGGTGGTTATGTCCCATTTTGATTTGTCAGATTTGTGTCTTTGTCTTTGCTTTTGTACCAACAGGATATATTTACAGCTTCAGTTTATTACCATCATTCCCAAGAGTTGATTGAGTATTCAGTTATCACAGATGTCAGATAACAGCAGTAATGGTCCTGCATTGGGTGTATTTAGTAGTCTTGGCAATGGGAAGAGGGTACGACTGTTAATGACAGAGATGCTGTTGTTGTGCCTCTGTTTGTGTGAACATGGGTGTGTATGTGCATGCGTTTGGGTGTGTTTGCACTGGGGAGTAAGTTTGGGTGAGTCTGTCTAGACACAATCTCACTAACTGAACTCTTTGTGACCCTTGCTGCCCCTAAGGCTGTCTGATACGACACTCAGTGCAGTGGGAGACACAATAGACGCTGAGAAGGCAGCAGACAGGGACACGGAGGCAGTGCTCGGCCTCACACTGTGCCAGACAGTGATGCTCTGACAGTGGAGTGAGACAGAAGCAGCACTCCCTGACAAAACAACCCGCATCAGAGAAGAAGACTCTTGCAATATTGACTGGCAGCCTTTAAACTATAAGCACAGACAGAAACACCTGCTCATGGTCAGGTACACACATACAAATACCTCAGAATGCATGCACGTAATAACATGATGCAGTTGGTGTTACAACCCAAACTGGGCAACTTATTCTTAGCCATAACCGTGAGGAGGAGGTGCAGCCTTTTTGTTGATGCTTCCCTGTTGAGATGCCTCCCATCTGGAGATATAGTCCACCAGTACTTCCAGAAAAGGACACAGAGCCAGTATAGACACAGAGAGTAGAAGCTGAAACACAAACACAAGGAGGAAGAGGCCCAGACAGAAAGCCAAGGCTACAAAAAAAACACATAGCACATATATGTAGATAGAGGCATGTGCATATATTATGAAAATCTGTTTATCTACAAACAAATATCTGCAGTACACCACCTCCCTTTGGGGAGTTCCGCGCAAAGCAAAATGCTCAACATCAATGGAATCGATCAATGGAAAGCCAGTGTTATGATGACACTATTTATAGTGAGGTTTTGTCTGTGGCTGCCGTTGGACTTATACGGACAGATATTCAGTCAGACATGCTTTGTTTTTTCTTTCCTTATATTTTACTTTCACATTAATAGTTACCTTAAGGATACATGTTGTCAAATACAGACCCCTGGCAATAAAGTCTTTAACACTCTTCAGCTCCATCGAATAATTCCCCCTCCAATAGCAGGTCGCAAGGTCAACAAAGGTCAAAAGACCACAGACCTGAGATGTTTGTGCTCTGTACACATGGAAATAGCAGGTAAAGCAGTTGCTTGTGACAAGTCTAAAAATACACACTGACCTAATTGAGCCAGTCAGGACGATAGGATGCTTTCATTATCTCCATCGTGTTTTATTCTTATCAACATTATATCACATGAATATTCATAAACTCTGTTTCCTATTGACTTTATATTCAGTTAATTTGAAGACCTGACAAATTGTTATCTAAGCATAGCATATGTTACTGATAGGAGCACTGTACTGTGGATTTAGGAAAACTGAGAAATAGGGGAGAAACAACAGACATAATACAAGATGTAAATTATTTTATACAACAGAGCGCCTTCCCTATATATATATATATTTATTTATATACCTTGCGTGAGTGCAGCTCTTATAAATAACCTATGCACCAGTGTTTAACAGAGGGATTATTGAATGGCTCTCTCTGTTCCTGAGGGATCCCGCTCGTGCCAGTGATTAGATTTCTGCTGTGTCCATTCTTTCCACCATACTGGGGATCTGTGGTAGATGCAGTAAAATGTGTTTTTTAAATCTATGGTTAGGGTGTTGTCTCAGCATTGCTGCTAACTGTATGTTGCCAGTACCATCTAGTGGCAGCAGGTGTTACTGGCATCATGGCTGTGGGCTGTCAGGTGGCTGATGTTCTGGGGAATAGAATCATGTAGCAGAGGTTTTGTTCTGCTTGCAGTTCACATACATGCCATTAAACCTGGTTTTTATCTCTCACGTCAGGACCGCAAACTGACCAAGGTGGAGCAGCAACGCTTCAAGGAGGAGGCTGAGATGCTGAAGGGGCTTCAGCACCCCAACATCGTCCGCTTCTATGATTCCTGGGAGTCTGTGCTGCGTGGCAAGAAGTGCATTGTACTGGTCACTGAACTCATGACTTCAGGAACACTCAAAACGTAAGCACAACCTCCTCATTTTTACTCATCGTCACTCAATGACAGCTCACCATTATTTTATTATTTTATTGAGTTGTTGTGTCATTTGTTTCAAAAAGAAACCTTGGGCCTTAGTGTCTGACTAACATGAAGTTCTTTTAATCCACCTATACCTTTCTGTATTTACCAGATCATAGCACCCACTACTTTGATATGGTATATTAAATATACTTTAAAAAACAAACTGACTGTACTGATTTATTATGTAAATTTTGTACAACATAATGTAATCAAAGTGAATATGCACGACCAGTTATCATGAATCATTTTCTATCATTGGTTGACCACAGTATTCTCTTTGATTTTGACAGTTCTTTATCTCTCTGCACAGGTACCTTAAGCGCTTTAAGGTGATGAAACCTAAGGTCCTGAGGAGTTGGTGCAGACAAATTCTGAAGGGCCTTCACTTCCTTCACACTAGGACTCCTCCAATCGTCCACCGGGACCTCAAATGTGACAACATCTTCATAACGGGCCCCACAGGTTCAGTCAAGATAGGTGACCTCGGACTGGCCACTCTGATGAGGACCTCCTTTGCCAAGAGTGTCATAGGTAGGCCACATAAGCCAAGCAATCACTTTGGAGAGTAATGCCAGGCATATAGTCGCTACATCAGCAAACAGAGTCAGGGCCTATAAAAATACTTTCCTCAGCTCAGTACAGATGTTTACAGCGTGTCTGGGATAATAGAAGAAGTCACTCTAAATTCCATGTGGGTAGCACTTACTGTAAACAGAAACCACTAATGAGAACTTGGATCTGTGAGCCAACTTAAGCAGCGCACCCCGAGTTCCATTTTGTTCAATAAAGTTTTAACTCGGGAAGCAAGAGCCGTAGACAGGAAGCTTTAACTGAGATTCAAGTTATCCATCCACTTTGGGGCCTTTCCGGTGGTGAAGTGGTGTAGAGCTGTTCTGTTTGTTATTGACTGTGAAACATCATCTGGTCTGCACAGGAACACCTGAGTTCATGGCTCCAGAGATGTATGAGGAGCACTATGATGAGTCTGTGGATGTTTATGCCTTTGGGATGTGCATGCTGGAGATGGCGACGTCTGAGTATCCCTACTCTGAGTGCCAAAACGCAGCTCAGATCTATCGCAAAGTCACAAGCGTGAGTGTCTTTAACTCAATCACTCAGCAGATCTGTGGTAATGACACATGTAGACCTAATTATTTTCTATATTTTTTATCACACTTTAAATGTTATCCAAATTATCTGACAACATGATTCAATTGTTGAATACAACTACTTTCTGATCTATTTTTCTACAGGGTATAAAGCCAGCCAGCTTTGATAAAGTGAACGACCCAGAGATAAAAGAGATCATCGAAGGCTGCATTCGTCAGAACAAGAGCCAGCGGTAAGCAGGTTTTCTTTTTATTACATGACGTGCTGCAGTATCTTTTGCACAGTTCCTGAGCAGGTGTTCTTAAAACATCCCTGTTTCCCCTTCACTTGACAGACTCTCCATCAGAGACCTCCTCAACCATGCGTTCTTCGGGGAGGACACGGGGGTGCGGGTGGAGCTGGCAGAGGAGGACACAGGCAACCAGGACTGTTTGGCTCTCCGGATTTGGGTTGAAGAACCGAAGAAGCTCAAGGGGAAGCACAAAGACAATGAGGCCATTGAGTTCAGCTATGACCTGGAGAATGATAGCGCTGAGGAGGTGGCTCTAGAGATGGTGAGACACTAGGATAATGCATGCATGAAGGGAAAGATGGAGCTTCATGGGTGACTTAAATGCATTAAAGCTTAAAGGAAGGTTAAGTGAGGGAAATCCTTCAGGCCATTGCAAGGTATTTATGAATAAATTAATTCAATCTCTCTCCCCTACTCCCTCACTCCAGGTGAAGTCAGGTTTCTTCCATGAGAGCGATGCCAAAGTGGTGGGAAAATCCATACGGGATCGAGTGAATCAGATCAAAAAGTCACGGGAACGTCGACAGCAGCAGCTCCTCCAGCAGCAGCAGGGCTTTGAGGAAAGGAGAGACTCCACTCTCACCTCCTACACCTTTTCTCATCCATCCTGCTCTTCCTCACTGGGGCCAGGGGCAGCTGGACAAACAGGAGGAGGAGGAGGTGGAGGAGGGCAGGAGTCAGAGGAGCTGCCTGAAGTGGACCAACATGTCAGACAGCAGCAAATATTCAGTGGGACAACCCTTAGTCTGCCAGGTATATTATGCACCTCCATTATATGTGACACACACCAGGAGTTTATTTGAAAGGTGGACTGTAAATTATAAGGACGTTATTAGGAAAAAACATGGTGGAAGCTCCACCATGTTTTTTCCTAGACTATAAAATACTTACTGAATATTATAAGTTGGATAAGTGTGTGTTGTTTGAATTTTTACATTCTTTCTTGTTCTTTTATAATCATCTTTTACTCAGAAGGTGAGAGCATTGGATCTGCCAGTTGTGAATCACATGCAAGTGGACAGAGCCAGGCGTACTCTCAGCAAGGGGAATCATACACCCACTCCCAAACGGCTCTCCCAATTACATCTGTACGTCAACATATTGTTTTCACCTCCTCTATGAATTATTTCTTGCAGATTAATTGATTATTGTTTAAATCATTCTATTGATGGATCACATTGTTCATTTATCCTCAGACGCTCCCCACTCGTGAGAGTGGAAATGTTCCCAGTGTACCTCTTGGTCAGAGTGTTAGTATGTCCACCATGCCCGTAGGCCAAAGTGGAGGGGGGCCTGTTGGTCAGACTTTTCTTCAGGCCACTAACATGGTTCCACAGGTATCACCAAGTGTACCTCAACAATATTTTCAGGTGAAAGGAGTGATAACACTAACTCTAATGAAAAAAGACATGTCTGCATTGGGACTACAACATTTAACATTACTTGAAAAGGAAGCAAATCTGCAATTGTGCAATTCTGTCATATTTTGGGTGCTTTCCCCTGAATAACTATTTACCAAATCACAAATCATCCTCATTATCTTCTGAAACTCACCATCTGATTATGCCATGTACAGGGTTTCCCCCAGGAAATCGTGTAGCAGAGATTGTGACTCAATAACAGTGACTGATAAAATGTACAGTCCTGCTGTATGAAATGCAGTGCCTAATTGCCTTTTATCATTTTACCTGAAGTTTCAAGTTTTGCCTAATAGATTAAATTAAAGTTAGTTTACTTTGACCATATGTGTTTATGGCGAGGCGTGCTACCTCTGCTATAAACCACTGTGGGAAACCCTGCTGTATTAAATTCAATGTGCTGTTATTTTATGCCCCTTGCCAAAGCTTATTCTTACCTGTTTTCTACAATTTTCTTTTCCCTTTCAACACCAATCATCATTCTGTCATTATCACCGTGTAGTCACAAACATTTCCATCAGAGACATTTCAAACTGCCACTCCCCACGGCTCAGTACTCCCCTCACACTCATACATACCCCCTGTTTCCCCACAAGCACCCATTAATGTTGTCACTACACCCATGTCCATCAGTGATCCTGCTGGACCAGCAGGGACCATTGTGCCCCTCGCTCAGCAGACCCAGCCCCCTGCCACTCCCATGCAGCTCACTGAAATCATTCCCCAGGCAGCACCCCAGCAAACGCAACCTGTCATGATCCCTCAGCAGACCATTGTCCAACAACAACAGATTGGGATGGATCCACAGACCTCCACCCTTCAGCAGCCACAACAGCAAATGGAGGCCCAGGCCACTGTGCTCGAACAACAAGTCTGTGCCCCTCAGCCACCAATGGAACAGCAGCAGAGCCTCGCAGCTACAATTGTACATCAACATGAGCCTCAGCAGCAGATCTATGCGCAGCAACCGATTCCACCTGTCCAGCCACCTCCTCATCAGCAAGGGTTGCCCACACAAACAGGTATGGATCAGCGAGCTATGTCGATACCGCAGGCAGGAGAGCAACCTCAGACTTTTAAACAGCAACCAAAAGAGGATCCTCACGATCAGATCACGATACAATCTCAACTACAACAACAGCTTCAGCAACAGCAAACGCTGTTACAGCAGCAGCAGCAACAGCAACAACAAGCTTTACTGATTGAGCAACATCAGCTCTATGTCCAACAACAGCTTGATCAGCAGCAACAAGCACTGCTACAGCAGCAGCAGCTTTTGCAACAACAACCGCAGCAGCAGCTTTTGCAACAGCAATTAGAGCCACAGCCTCCCCCACAGCAACAGAGCCAGTTATATCAGCAAATCGGACAACACCAAGCCGGAACGCAAAACGAACTTGAGAAGCAGCAACAAAGCGGACAACAGCAGCAAAACATTGCATTACAGCAGCAGCAGACTCAACAGCAAACGGAGCAACAACTCCAGCAGCAAGCCTTATTCCGACAAATGGAACAACAACAGCAACAGGCACTAATACAGCAGCATTTGCAAAGGAACGCTATGTTACAACAACAGCAGCAGCTACAACAGAATGCTCAGCTCCAGCAACAAGAGCAGCAACAAGTGCAACTCAAGCAGCAGATAGAGCAGCAGCAGCAGCAGCAGCAAGCTCTGCTGCAGAAACAGTTAGAACAACAGCGTCAGCAACAAGTCCTGCTACAACAACAGGCAGAGAGATTACAGCAGCATGCCCTCATACAACAACAAAGTAAAGAGCAGCAGCAACAGCAGCAAGCAGCAATCATTCAGCTTCAGCAAACTGAGAAACAAGAGAGTGTCTCTTTTCCACAAAGTAACAGCGAGCAGCAGTTTCAGCAGCAATCAACTGAAATACAGCATGTGTGTATCCCACAAATGAACACTGCTCAGTTTACACCTCAGACTACTCTGACACAGCAGGTGTTGGAGCAGCAGCAGCAAGCAGTATTGATCCAGCAGCAAAAAGCATTTATTACCCAGCCGCAGCACCATCCCTCTGTTATGGAACCTCATCTTCCAGTCGGAGTTCCGGGCGGCACTGAGGTGATTCAGCATCAAAATATCTCACAGGCCCAGGTCCCCATGGCCATCCAGACTACGCAGATCCCTCTCCAGACAACTGCTGTTGCTCAAGTCTTCAACCAACAAGGACAAAATGAGGCCCCTCCCCAGAACCAGGGCCAAGTCCCAGTCCACTTTTTAGCCCAGTCTACAGCCCAAGCAGCTCAGGCTATGACTGAGGCTCATGTGCCTCCTCCAGCAGCAACGATCCAAGGACAGAATCAAATCATCCAGACACAGCAAATTCCTTTACAGACAAGTTACCCAGGACCTGTCACTTCCACACAGAGCCAAGTAACTGCTCTGACATTAATCCAGACTCAGCCTTTGCACCAAACAATTACTCAGTCCCAGCAGCCACATGGCCAAGGCCCAACTGTTGACATTCAGATGATGGGCCAACACAGCCAAGCTGCTGTCCAGCCTCCAGCTGTAGTTTCCTCAATTCCCAGTCAAATCCAACATGAGTCTCTTGTTCAGCAAAATGCTCAGATGCCAGGGCTCATGCAGCCCCAGCTCCAGCAACAACGTCAAGACCAGCCAGCGGGCCAGGTGCATGCTCAGACTGCCTCTGGCCTTCTGACCTCTCAGTATGTCGCTCAGCTTACCCACCAAGCCATGCCATCTGCACAACAGGAAATAACCCATATTACACAACAGCAGCAGCAGCAGCAGCAGCAACAACAGCAGCAGCCAGTACTCCAATATCAGCAGAGGATTCTGTCTCCTGGCTCAGCTGCTGTTGGGACCAAGACAGATCTTGGTTCCGTAGTTGACCCTGTGAACTTTACTTCCACTCCTCATCCTGTGCAGCAGGCTGGACAAGGCTATGTTCCAGGCCAAGTTGTTCAGGCTCAGCAGCAGCAGACCCTTGGAAGCACCACTGACCCTTCAGTCATTCAGGTCATCTCCCAGCCTGCTCTGCCCCAGTCGACTGAACAATACCAGCAACAGCTGCAGAAGCTTCCTCATGTGCATCAAGCCCTGGCTCAACCTCCTCCACAAGCTCAGTTACTGGCACAGCCCATTGCTACCCCTATCCAGCAACCAATTCCTGTGAAGCAAGTTTTGATACCCCTTGACGAGAGTCCTCTTCCCCCACAGTGTCCACCTGACTCACATTTGGTGGCCCATCCTCCTGCACAGATAGTCTCCAGTAATGTGGCTGAACCTCAGTCTGAGAACAGGACCCTTCCCATCTATAGTCATCTAGTGACAAGCGCCACTTCATCTCCACAGCACCAGGCCAACCAGATGCTGCCAGCTCACACACACACACAAACCAGCCTCCAGGCCCAATCACACTCCCAGACACAGACACACACTCAGACACAGGCTCATTCTCACACTCAGACACACACTGGCACACGTATCGCTGAACAACCTGTTCTGCCCAGCGCTGTCTTTCCTGCACAGCAAATGCCCCCCAGTCCCTCTCATACCTCATGTCCCCCAACAACACTACCATCTCTCATATCCCACTACCCTGCTGCTGCCCCTGCTCCAGAGCTGCCAACATCTCCGCCAGCGGCTCAGATAACCTTCCCAGGGCAGGCCGACTTTTTCCCCACCTCCCCTCCGCCTGCTGCTACTCTACAATCGCTTGATTCTAATGTCCCCAAACTCTCCCAAGCCTCGCTGCAAGACTGTGACCTTTCCCTGCTGGGCAATGCTCAGGTACAGGAAAAATGGAAGTTTACTGTATTATTTAAACAGTTATTTTACTTTGCTAACATGTGGGCAGAATTAATGATAATACTGCTATCTAATAATTTGAAAAATCTTTTGATTTTATTGTTTG